ATGTCACTTTTATTAGATCCACAGGGTGTATTATAGGAGTATAATTGCTGGGTCATATAGTCCAGGGTCAGTGTAAAAGAGATGAATTCATGAGATGAATTGACACAGTGACTGAACAATGACCTCAGACATAACAATTGTGAGGATGGGGCAGGACAAGAAAATATTTTCTTTTGTTGTTCATTGGAGTAGAACCAACTTGACAACAGCTAACAACAACAATTGCAGCTCTGCCTTTAGTTATTTTGGGAACCATCATACTGTTTTCCATAATGACTGTACCGTTTTGCATTTCCACCAGTAATGGATATTTCTCTCTCTCTCTCTTCCTCTATTTATCTCCTTCTCTCTCCCTCCCCCATTGAGCCAAGGCCAACTCCTAGTGACCCTATAGGCCAGGGTAGAAGGGCCCCTGTGAATTTCTGAGACTGTAATTGTATTTTTTTTTTGTTTTATGTTTACATTATTTTTTAAAGTTTTATTAGCACTCTATCTACATGTCATACACTCAATAATTCCATCATATCAAGAAGAGTTGTAAAATTGTCATCATATTCAATCTATAACAGTTTCTTCTTCCTTGTAGGCATTGTAATTCATGTAATTATGTCTTTTCTAATTGTGGCCAAAATATACACAACAGAACATTCTCCAACTCCACAGCTTTTACTTGTGTAAATCAGTGTCATTGATTATATTTTTCATGTTGTACAGCTACTTTTAATATTCTTTTCCAAATTATTCTGCCACCATTGACATAAGCTCAATGCCCCCCATGCAAAAACTCTTTCCCTTTCACTTATGGTAACTATTGGTCAAGTTTGGTTTCTTTTAAAAATTTTTTTTATTTTTTTGATATAGTCTTTACATATTATATACTTCCATATTTAAATCACTTTTAAAATGAGTTGTATAATCTCAATTACTTCTGGTGCTCCCTCCCCCTCCTGCATTCATTGTTTGCTCCCCAAATCCGCTCACCCTCCATTATCTAACACCCCTCACCTGAACATCCCCTATAAACCTTTGTATCAGTTATTATCAGTATGCATCTATTCCTTCTGTGCTTCACAAAGTGGGAAACCCAATAGAAACAATAAAAAATAAAGACAATATAAAGTAGTAAGGATAAAAAATAATAAAGAGATAAAAATACAAATAATGAGTAAGAAAGGAAAGATCACCATCAATATTATAAAAGCCAGGGAAGAAATATTTTTCATGGAACAAGCAAGAAATATTTGAATCTAGAACAAATTCAGGTTGGGTCTAGAGGGAGGTCAACTGACCAATATCAAGTTCGATCCAGCATAATCAAGTTTATAATGATCTCTATCTGATAGTAAAGCTGTTTAAGACCCTTGCCTGTGGCCAGAGAGGACCTGCCAGTGGTTTAATCTGACTAGATACTCTGCAGATGGGTTTTAGGCTCCCACTGTCCTCCATAGCTTTCTACTAATTGGTGTTCACAATTTAAGCTCTGATACTTCTTTCCTTCATCATAGTTGGATTTTGTTATCATCATCTTTGGGTCACACAAGCTGGTGTGCTTCTTCCATGAGGATTTAGCTGAGGCCTCACTTCGATGGTTGCTTGTTTGAATACAAGCCTTTAAGACCCCAGACGCTATTTTAATTGTTAGCTGGGCACCATCTTTCTTCACCACACTTTGCTGTAACACCCTTATCTTCAGTGATCATTTCATAATTGTTAGTATTGAGCAGGGCCATGTTATAAGAACTAACTGTTCTTGGATTGGGGCTAGAGTTAGGTAGGAACCCAGAATCCCTCTGCTTGTCCATGGTTATACATGTCTCTGGCTTATTTTGGCAGTTGTACTATGACAAAATCAAAACCCCACAAAACCAACTGCAACAGCAACAATCTAACCAGAAAACAAACAAACAAAAAACAAAACAGTAAAAATAAGAACAAACAAACAAAACCCCACAGAAACTAAAAAGTAAAACATTGTCAATCATCCCCCCAGGGGAATAAGGTGCTTACACTGATAACATCAACAATTTTTCCAATGACACAGCCCTCACTGTCGATATGAGGAGTCTATGTGAGTGCAGTTCCACCATAAGCTACAACCCATGAGTTGTTGCCCTGGACAGATCCATCTCCCATTTGATTGAGCTCTGTTTACTGTAAGCATGATGACGGTTCCAGAGGGAAACTTCCTGGATCAATTCTTAGAGGTGCAGATCCTGCCCAACACATCAAAACCTGTCATATTATTCCAAGGGGGACATGGAGGTACTAAACATATGGTGATTCTGGGTCCCTTTCCCAAACCAGGGGTCCCCCAGATGGTCCAATGGTCACCACTTCTATAACCACGGGTCGGCCACACTCTGCTTTCTCTCCCATCAGGGCACCCCAGTCCTCAGACCAAAGGTGCAGGCAGCTTCAGCGCCGGGCTCAGTTCATCCAGTTGGACCTCTATGTTTAGTCCTGGTGCAGCCCCTGGGGTACCCATGCTACCTGCAAGGTTAGCGTCCAAGATCATCAAGGTGCTTCATTCATGGCATGGCTCACTGAGGGTTGGGTAGAAACATATTTGTAGTGTGACTGTAATGGTTTACAAGAGCGGAAAACCCTGTCTTTCTCCCATAGAGTGGCTGATGATTTGGAACTGCTGACCTTGCAGATTGTAGCCCAATACATAACCACAACACCATCAGGCCTCCTCCAGTAATGAATGAGGGTTCCAACTTCTCTACCTCCACTCTAACATTTATTATTTTTCATATTTATTTTTTATCTTAGCCATTCTAGTGGGAGTGAACTGCTCTCATTGTTTTATTTGCATGTCTCTGATGGCTAATGAAGCTGAGCATCTTTCCATATGTCTTAGCCATTTGAATATCCTCTGTCATTTTCCCAGTTTTAATTGGGTTGTTTTGTAAGATGTAATTTTTAAATGTATTTTAGATATTAGACTTTTATCAGTTACATTGTTCCTGAAGATTTATTCCCAATCTGTAGGTTGTCTCTTTATTCTTTTGATAAAGTATTTTGATAAAATAAGAAACACTTTAATGAGGTCCCAGTTATATATTTTGTTTTGTTTCTTGTGTACTCACTGTTGTACTTGACAATCTATCATTAAAAAGTAACAATAAAAGAGGTCTTAAATCTTTGCTGCTATATTGTTTTTCAGGGATTTAACTTAAAATTTAGGTCCTTGATCCATTTTAAATTGGTTTTTATGTATGTTGTAATGTATGGATCTTATTTCATTTTTCAGTATGTGGAAATCCTTTGGTTCCTTTGTCAAAAGTCATTTGACCATAAATATTTGTGTTTATTTCTGGATTTTCAATTCTATTCCATTGGCCTATGTGTCTATCATTAAATCATACCAGGCTGTTTTAATTATTGTGGTTTGCTTATTTGGTGGAGGGCAGATGAATAGAATGTCATGGGAAGTCATGGGACATCATAGAATATTATAGAAATAATTGAAATGAACTGTCAGAGTGGGAAGAGATTGAGGAGCCTTACAATCTTACCCTATACTTCGTAGAGATGGAGTGATGACCTAGTCCAGAGAGGCAAAGAGGCTTACCAGAGTGATAGACAAGCCCAGACAAGGAAAAAAGCTGATCAAGGTCATACACTAAGTCTAAGACTTAGCGGTAACTATATCCCAGCCCCAGCAGCCATGCCAGTTATCTTACATTTAGCATCTGGACCAAAGACAGATCCAAACTAACAGAGCACTGGAGAACACTTCCACAAAGTGGCTTCCATTATTCCTTAACCCCTTCCTCTCCTTAACACCCGCCTCCCCATATTGTCTTATTTCTTAGAGGTTCAAAGGGTTTTGGAGCTGAGCCTTCTATATATTATTGAACTAGTAGTAGAACTGTATTCTTTCTTCATCTCCTCAGTTTAACTCACCTTAGTAGCCAACAATGCCACGTGATGTGTTTAGGCTAGTTAGAGACACAGGGTCAAGTGGCTTCTGCCACATCCTAAGCACAACAATGTGCAAAGCTGGCACAGGTCTCTGCCTCTGTCTCCTGTCTGACCTCTAGCCTCAACTCAGTCAAGATTTTTCTTTAACATTTAAGCTTTTGAGGGACAGACAATTGCACAAGCAAGGCTCACTATTACAGGGTCGAGGGTCCTCTAGAAACATTGAAGTCTTCTCGTGAAAAGTGAGTAGTTCCTTAAAAGTTCAGAGAAAAGTGAAATTTGGATGAAGGTCAAACTACAGGAGCAGTTTACCTTCCCAGAGAATAAAAGTGAAAGCACTTCTTGTTGCTGGCAGACCTGATGATTTTGGGGAAGCACCTTCTCTGAATAGCACCACAACTGGGATGGAGGTCGGTTTCCATGGTCTAAAAGTGCTCTGGTGTGCCAGAGAGGCAGGTGAAATTGGGAGAGGGGAGATGCAGCTGGCTTTCTTGGCAAGTGAATCCGTTCCTCCTCTGTGTAGCTTAGGGGTGCAGGCTGAGAGATCTTACTTATCTCTACACCTACAGATGGGCAAAGGAATGCTGTGTAGTCCCCAAGCTTCCGAACTCCAGCTTCACCTCACCTACCCTCCTGGAGCTCAGGGATAAACTTCCTGTTGGTAACCAGGATACTACAGTGAGAAGAAAAGTGACCAAGGAAATGGGAGCGCTAGCAAAACCGAAACCGAGCTCTAAGCTCCATTCAGGCACTGCAGCCTCAAGAGTCAACCGAGCTATAATCACGTGACCCACTCGGTGTGGGGGTGGGAGTGAGGAGCCCCAGCCGGGAGTTCCACACCCCGCCAGGCCCCTTCAAAAATCAAGCCCGCGCCTATTTGCATTTAAAGAGAAAGGAACCAAGAAAAACAGTAGGGGAGCTGGGACTCCGCCTTCCCACACTGATGATTGGGCCACACGTCTGTCAATCAGCGTGCGGACATCCCATTTTGGGATTGTGGATTGGGGACTGGGGGCTAGGAGGAAGCTTCCCGAAGCCTAGGAAAGGGGAATGGGTGCCTGAGGTACCCAGAGTCTCAGAGGTAGCGGTGGCAGCAGCGGCAACCGGAGCAGTGGTGCAGCCCAGGCGGCCGGGGAGCTTTCAGCCTCAGCAGCCTCCACTCCAGTCCCAGCCAGGGTGGCGCAGCACAGACAATACCTAGACCGGGAGCCGGAACGGCCGGGTAAGTGCTACGTGCAGGCTGAAGCCTTCTGCCCGCCTTCCCGCGCAGCCCCGCTTCAGTCCAGTCATCCAGAGGAGGGCAAACATGGCTGAGGAGGTCCTTGTCTTGGAAACTCAGTACTCTTCATGGATCATGCCTTAGAGCTTTTCTGGTGAAGAACTGGGGGAGTAGGGCAGTGGGGGAGGGGGTGCTGAGGACAGGTAGGCAGACAGGCCTGGCTAGCCTGGACTATGCCTTGGGCTTTCCTGGGAATCAGAAATGGGCCAGCGTGTGCTGCCTCAAGAGTATTGCCACCGTACAGTACTCTGAAGTGTGTATTTGTAGGCCAAGAGCTCAGCAGCTTTGTTGTAGCAGATTTCCTGGAACAGCTGGGTTATGTGGGTATAGCTCAACACCCTAGAGGCCCTGTCGCTGCCCCTCCACACCCCTGCACATCTCTTGCTTCTCATGCTGTGCAGATGAAACACATGAGCTAGTCTGATCCCGACAAGGACTGCTTTGGCACAGATTGTAGGATCCACACAATCGGCTCTCCTTTAGGGAAGATCACAGTTGGGCCTGGGGGCTGATCCCTTCCCATCAAAACCAGGGCCTGGCTGCCCTAACCAGCTGCTCCATTAGTTCTCTTGGGACTCCCTGGTACATCTGGCTCCTGCAGGCAGGAGGGTTGACCTTGGGCTCTCACCGGGTTTTTTGTTAGAGCTACAACTCAAGCTAGTCCTTGGGTTAGAGCTGGAAGGTTGCTTTGTCTCTCCACCGCAGACCCCCACCCCTCACCCCTGCCACCCGCCTTGTCTTTCCTCCTCTCAGAAGGCACTGACAGCATTTTTTCTATCGTCACCTATTTAAAATTAGCTGTATGCATGGTCCTGGGGCGGGGTGGGGTGGGGTGGGATGGGTGGTGCTCCATGCCAGATCCAAAGGAGGCACACATTGTAGTAGAGAACACGCTGTCTGGGTGTATGTGAGAGAGGCAGCCAAACCCTCCAATTTAGCAGTTACTTAAAATACCCAGCCACGATCATTGAGTACTGTAGATATGTCTGACACAAGTGATGGCTCTGCTGCAGGACTTTACCCAAGCTCTCGGCAAGGAGCACCCCAGGTGGGCCTCAGTCCTGATATACAGATGCTTCACTGACTCCGCAGAGCTGGCCTTGGTTTAGTCAGACTTGCTTTGACTCTGCCAACCTGCTTCTGCAGTGTTGGGCATGGGCAAGGAGGTAGGCACCAAGCTATTGTACTCCCTATCAAAGTTCATGATGCCAGCAAAGTACCCACTCACGCTTGTCCAAATCATCTTTTCTATCAGGCCCCAATGGCATGTCATAGTCTAGCTGACACTTTTCTTGCCTGTCTCTTGCAAATCATCATGTCCTTTACTTTCCGGTAACTCTTCCTGAACTCCCCACATCTCTTCAGTATTTGAGTACTTTCAGGCTTAAGGTATAATAGGAGGCCAATTAATATTTAGTTTCCCTGCCTCTTCTTTGTCTCCTCAATATTATGGATGGGCAGTTTCTTTCAGAATCCTTTGGAGGGGTAGATTAAAGCTGTGATCTCATCCATAACCCACTCAAAACCTAGCACTGCCAAGTTGTTAAATAATGCTTCAGAAGAATTTTATGTTTTTGAAGGTTTATGGAGAAAACTTTACCTCTCCAACTTGTACTTATGGTGTTTCATATTAAAGTGACTAGAGAAATGCTTCTTAAGACTCAGACACTAAGTTTTCCTAATGAGGATGGAAAAAGGCTCCCTGGTGATGCCATTGGGTAGGTATTAGACAGCAAACATCAAGGTTGATAGTTCAGCCCCATCAGTCTCTCTATGGGAAAAAGATGAGGCTATCTGTCCCCATAGAGATTTTCAGCCTCAGAAACACTATATAGGGTCTCTATAGCTCAATGGCTGTGGGTTCTTTGGGTTATGATGATGGAAAAGGGGAATGGAATACACCTACAAAAATTAAATAAATCATGATGCAATTCATAGCAATAAACTCATGATATGGGCTTCTCAGACCCCAAACTATACATACTTTTGATTTGCTAATTTAATATCTCAGAGACCAACTGACCTGGACAAAAATGAGAGACCTGTCATTCTCTGAAACTTCCAGATAATAGAGGCATTTGGCTAGGCAAGGGGTTTAATGGTCTAAGCAAAAGGGGTCCACATTAAGAATGAGAGAGTTGTGACTGGCAGGCAAACTGAGGTGACTGAATTGATTCTGGTAAGATTATATAACTTAGATAAGAAGGAGGCTGGGGCACAATGGTGAAGGTTCATACATAGCAGGTGAAGAATAGTGATCTGGTCCTATTGGGGAAGGGGCATGTACTGAAGAGTGAGAAATTGGGGGATTTTTGTGTGTAAAGATGCTATGACAAAAATTGGTTTTAGAACAGAAGGTTCGCGGGGAGGAGATGAGCTAGTCAGGGTGCAGTATAGCATCAATGAAACATACAACTTTCCTCTAGTTCTTTAATGCTTCCTCCCATTATCATGATCCCAATTCTACCTTACAAATCCGGCTAGACCAGAGCATGTACACGGGTACAGATAAGAGCTGGAAACACAGGGAATCCAGGACAGATAAACCCCTCAGGACCAATATTGAGAGTAGCTATACCATGAGGGGAAGGGGAAAGTGAGGGGGAAAAGGAGGGACCCATCACAATGATCTACATATAAACCCGTTCCTGGGGGATGGGCAACAGGAAAGTGGGTAATGGGAGACATCGGTCGGTGTAAGACATGAAAAAATAATAATAGTTTATAAATTAACAAAGGTTCTTGAGGGAGGAAGGGTGAGGGAGAGAGGGGGGGGAATGAGAAGCTGATACCAAGGGCTCAGTAGAAAGAAAATGCTTTGAGAACGATGATGGCAGCAAATGTACAAATGTGCTTGACACAGTGGATGGATGGATTGTGTTAAGAGAGGTACAAGCCCCCAATAAAATAATTTTTTAAAATTGGTTTTAGAAAAAGATTGAGAGCAAGCCACAAGTCAGATAAGGTGCTACCTCTGGATTTGACAGCAGAGCTATTGCCAAAGGGAAGTTGCACTATGTCCCCCTCCCTTTGGAATTGTGTATATGGGAGAAAAGGCTCACCTGAACCTGAACACCAACATGGTGGGGGCTGGAAGAATCCGTTGTTTCTGCTTAACTACTTCGCAGCTGAATAAGCCTTTAAACTTACTTCTGTGGAGTTGATTACGAGTCATAGTGAGCTTACAGTACAAAGTAGAACTACTCCATAGTGTTTCTAAGGCTAAATTTCTACGGTAGCAGACTGCCACATCTTTCTCATGCAGAGTGGTGGATGGGTTTCAACTGCTGATCTTTGTTGATGGCTGAGTGTTTTTACCACAGTCGTACCAAGGTTCCTGGATAGGCCTTTGGGAAACCAATTTTGACTCTTGTGCTAACAGATGGACAACCTGGGCCCTGGAAAACAATGGGTTTGCTTAAGGTTACACAATTATTTAGGTATAAGCCATACTTCCTATACAGTGGCGCTTTCCACTGTAGCCTACTGTCTCTGGTGGTCTCCATTCAACATGAATCTCATTAATCACCCTTTACACCCCTCACTCACTCCCCAAGATTAAAGGGGAGCTGGGTTAGCATGGAAGTATCACCTTGGTCTAGGTCTTAGCCTGCAGGCTATCTACGGTGAAAGTTTGAGAAGTAGGAGGGGGGCTTGTTAAAAGTAGTTGGCAGTCTAATGATTTCCTCTTAATCTAATGGAAGTGTTAAAAATTCTTCAAGGGGTGTTACGTTTACACTGTCAGAAAATATGTGTGGGTCATAGCCCTGTTCTGTAGGTTCAGAGGAATAAAGGAATAAGAGGAATAGTAGTGACAATTGGCAATTACAGGTTTGCTTGAACTAAAGAGGAAAAAGAGGATTTGTAGCCCCCTCACTAATGAGTAGGCTATGAGGGAGCTTCAAACAGTTCATAGAAAAATGGAAGTAAAACATAATGAATTTTTCCATGAACTTTTTGGAATCCCTTTGTTTGTGGTGCTAGAAGAGGAAAGCCCAACATCATTCCATCAAATTCCTCTGCTTCAAATCCTTTCCAGGCAGATAAACTAGAATGTAAAGGTAAAGCTCCCAGAAGAGACTTCTCCTTTTACCATTTCTGAGTCACCAGTCTCGCTGCCAGCGAGTTCTTTCTCAGAGCAAATCTGAGGCTCTTCATGCTCAGTTAGACCCAGGTGTTGGATGGGATAGGCTTGAGAACAACTAGTCACCATTGATTGCTCTTCTGTTGGATGACTCTTTGGATATTCAGAGGTACAAAAGGGAGGGTTACTCCCTCCCCTTATCAACTTCTGTTCTGCAAATTCAGTAATCACAGATAATTTCATTTCCTCTGTGTGTATATTTGTGCATGTGTAAGTATACCACCAACAAGGTAGGAAGAAAAAGCAGAACTGCTGCATAGGTGCTGTTGGCAGCTGGAGAGTGTACAGTACCCCCCCTACCTTCCATTAGGGAATTAGGAGACAATATGGACAATAGAGGAAATGACTAAAAGGGGCCATAGAAAGCAAGGCATACTGAGATTGCAGAGGCCTTTGTGATCCTTTGATCTACATTCACTTTTTGCAGAACCTTCATTGATTTCATAATCTATAGGTGATTATTTCCCCCCCTCTTGGACTTCCAAGCCGATGGTCACCCCACTTCCTCAGACAGCATTCTTGAGACTTCCCTCACTATCTGTTCAACCATACTTGCTGGAAGCTGTAGCTCTTTTCTGGGGAGAGGGGACTGATCCAGGCCAATTTTATACTCCTTCTCTGGACATATAAGAGATATTCACAGAAAAAAAATCATACATTTAAAAAAAGTAAAAATAATGGAAGTGGGCAGACAGTAGGAACATTTAATCTGGTGCCACAGTGCATCTCCGTCTTGTAGTGATGGGTTGGAACCTATTGGACACCCAGGCATCATATTATAGCCTGGGATGCAAAATCA